TGACTGGATTCATCTGAAAAAAGAAAGTCATATACACCTAGGATGCCTTGAGGGTGAGTAATTCATGGGCTAGTTTCCATTTTTGGGTGAACTAACCCTTTAACATAAACCATTTGTCCCGGTAAAACGTTATGAACGGTTACAACGTCAGATTGAGGTTGGCATACAAGACATTTATGTCTGCATGTAGCTGAGTGAGGTATAGCCCCAGTGCAATTGGCTGGCGTTACCCAAGCCGGTGAACCTATCGGTGTTTGTACATCATTATGATTGGTCAGTATTGTGCCTATTGGTTTCATGAGCCTATTGGTGCCTGTGTTGAGAATATAAAAATGGGAAGTGCTTGGCTGTTTGCGATGCATCATCCTTGGTACCACCCCTTTGTGACGTGGCATTTTCTCTTTCTTTTATTTTTGTTATTTTATCTTATTGTACTTACGGTTTGGTATGTTATTGGTATTGTGTTTGTGCTGTGATTTTGAGACCTTGTGTGAAGTATTATATTGATTTACTCTTTTTTTTTTTTTTTTTTAAATTATTTGTATGCTTGAATAAAGTGATTTGTCTATATATTTCTGTCTATGTCTCCAAGCTCAACTTACCTTTGGCAACGAACCTGTGTGCCCTGCTGCATAGGGCTGTTACATCCCGGTATACTCCGGGTGGTGTAGTCGACTAGGATTTGTTTCTTTTGTTACTGGTAACTTTCTCTACTTGACCACTCTTGCCACATCTGCATATTTCAAATCAATGTGCCTTTGTAAATCAGTGTGAAAAACAACTGAAGGTTTTGTTTCAACTAACAATGAGACCATCAGCATGCAACAAGTCAAGCAATGCTTTCATGACTCTCCTGTGTGTATTTTCATCAGTAATACAGATAAAAATGTCATCCACACACTGAACTATAGTTGACTGACTTTCCCATTTGTCTAATGTTGGTTTTACATTTACATTTAGTAATTTAGCAGATGTCAAAGATTTGTATTAGTCAAAATATGAATTGTTCGAGTGTAATCATTATGAATATAACCATTTATATATCCAGTTATTCTTCCGTTAAAATCATATATGCCTGTGTGTAGATATGCCTACGTGGCTAAACTGTACAGACCCTCAGATTAGAAACATCTGGAAAAATACAAATGGGGCTTCTTTCTTTGCCATAACAAGACTTAGGGGCCCCTTCTCTCTAGGGAGAATTGTATGCCCAAAGGAACCATTCTTTTTTTTTTACTTTTTTTTTCAAACAACCTTACAGAGTATTCCTTGCGTTTCTGTAGAATTGCCGGAGGGTAATCTTGGTAAAAGTATATTGGTCTTTCATTCAAAAACACCTTCTTTCCCCAGGCTTTGCGCAGAATCTCTTCTTTGATTTTGTAGCGGTGGAATTTGATTGTTATTGACCGCGGTCTATCTTCCCTGTTGCCCGAGGGTTTCGGT